TTGAATTCCGAGTTAGCCGTACGTACAGTAATCACCCGTACGCGTCCGTCAGCTCCCGGGTGAACCTGTCGGATTCGCGCGAGCTCCCACCTTGAGGGAGGCAGTAAGTTATTTTTCAGCAGAACTAGCTCGTCGATTTTGAGGTCGGGAGACGATTCAGACCATTTATGGCGTTGTTGCAGGGAATGTAAATAATCTACTGACCAAGAACGCCAAATCTGTTCCTGCATTAACCGTATATATATGTTGCCATCGCGATAGGCGGCTCGTGTCGAGTTCGAGGACGGATTCCTCCGGTACGTTAACAAGCGGACGTCCTATTAGAAAGTGTCCAGGCGTTAACGCGGAAAGGTCCGTCGGATCATCGCTGAGAGCGGTGATTGGTCTAGAATTTAGGCAAGCTTCGATCTTACACAAGAGTGTGACGAATTCGGCCCGCGAGTAGTCCTCTACGCACTCAAGATGAATAGCTCTGGTCGCGAGACATACGAACACGGCGACGTAATGCTTCCTCCCCCTTTGACCCCGGCCAACAAACGGAATAACGTTCATAGGGCCGGCGTAGTCAACTCCGGTGTGAGTAAAGGGCGGAGAAGGATTTACTCGCTGTTTGGGCAGATCGCTCATGAGCTGAGTAGCGGTGTTCGCGGACTGACGAACACACGCGACACAGCAAAGTACATGGGACCTAACCAGACTACGCGCGGAAAGAATCCAGAAGTTCTGTCTCAAAACTCTCAGCGTCAGCTGCGTTCCGCCGTGGAGCGAGAGTTTGTGAGCTTGGTCAATTATTAGATCCGAGATGTGATGTTTCGGGAGTATTACGGGGTGGCGCTCATTGTAGCCCAGTGTTGAATTTTCAAGCCGCCCGCCAAGCCGTATTAACTCATCTTCCCCAATGAATGGGTTAAGAGAACGTAACAGACTCGTCCGGGCAATAGGAGAGCGGGCCTTTAGAGCTTTCCACTCGGTTGAGAAATAAGTTAACTGCACTGATCGAAGCCAAAAGGCGGAAACATCTCGGAGCTCCCGTATGGATAATCTTGAAGTTACAATTGGTGAAGAGGCGGACTTGTTTTTTAAGTTCTGAATAAAGCGTTTGATATACGCAGTAACGCGGAGGAGCCGGGTCTAACTGGAGCAAGTGTCAGGTAGGTCCCATTCCGGAGAAGAGTCGGCATGATGAATAGCAGATTTACGCTCTTCCGCGAGTACCGTTTTGAGCGTATTCTCTCGCATGGGCAAAGGTTCGTCCGGAATAGGCCATGAGTCGGAGTGCTTACGGAGCCAGGGCGGCCCGGACCACCATAACTCATGTCTAACCAATTCAGTGGCTGAAAGGCCTCTAGATGCGCAATCAGCCGGGTTATCCTTTGAGCGAACGTGATTCCAGTTCATGGAAGGGAGGCGAGTTTGTATTTCCGAAACGCGGTTGGCAACGTACGAATTCCATCTGGATAAATGTTGACGGATCCAAGCTAACACAATGTTCGAATCCGTCCATCCAAACAGAAGGACTCCTTCGAATTTCAAAGAAGTTCTGACCCATTCCAATAATCTAATCAACAGCACGACGGCGTTGAGTTCGAGTCTAGGAACACTGACTGTCTTTAACGGGGCGACCTTTGTCTTTGCCGCAAGAAGACTGATCTGTATGTTCGAATTACTATGCGGAACTCTGAGATAGACGACGGCAGCATAAGCTCTGGAGGAAGCGTCAGCGAACCCGTGAAGTTCTACTCCGATCATGTTTCGATGCATTCCGGTCCATCGAGGAATGCGCACGTCGTTAATCTTACACAGATCAGTGCTGTAATCGGTCCAACGCGTCAATAGATCTTCCGGAATCGGAGTATCCCATTCAAGTTTTTGTAACCAGAGCTCCTGCATTAGAATTTTAGCAGAGATGACGATGGGGGATGCCCATTCAAGGGGGTCATAAAGCTTTGCGATAAATGACAATATGGAGCGTTTTGTGTGCACCGTTGGAGAGCATTGAGTTGCCAGAAAACGGAATGAATCCTCGTGTGGCGACCAAGACAGACCTAATACTTTGAGAGTATCGTCCTCTTTGAGGTTACGATCAGAGGATTCGCATTGATCCACGGGAATGTCTTGCAAAAGTTTCGCTGACCATTTATGGAGGGGAAATCCTCCTCGCTTCATTAAAGCGATGAGCTGTGCGCGGGTTTCCTTGAGAGTCGCGATATCGTCCTCCCCGAAGAGGACATCATCAACGTAAGTTTGTTCTTCTAATATCTGGAGAGCGGCTGGGAAGGCCTTGCCTTCGTCTAGTCCTAATTGACGTAGAGTACGCTCGCGAGAAATGGAGACGGCACTTGGCCGTATGTGACCGTGAGTAGACAGTAAAGCAGGATCAGTAGGCTGTTTCGCGGACGCCAAACAATTCTTTGAAAGTTTGCATCATCCGGATGTATCAAAATTTCGCGGAACATTTTTGCAATGTCCGCAGTATATACGTAACAAAATTGTCTCCAACGTAATATGATCGCCGCGATACCTTGTTGAAGATTGGGGCCGACCATCAGGTGATCGTTAAGCGAAGTTCCATCGCTTGTTTTACAGGAAGCGTTAAATACTACGCGAAGTTTCGTAGTTGAGCTCGACCCGCGCAGCACGAAATGATGAGGTATGTAGACTGGGGAAAATAGCGATGCCTCGCACGCGCTCGCTAATTTCATGTGACCCATAGACTCGTATTCCGCAAGAAATTTATGGTACTGATTAGCGATTGTTGGCCTTTGCAGCAATCTGCTTTTCATTTTTTTGTATAAAAGCATAGCCCTTTGAAGAGTGTCACCAATATTACCCGGAGGACCGTTCTTAAACGGTAGACGCACGATGTAGCGCCCCTGTGAATTACGCGAGTGGGTTTCGACGAAGTGTCGTTCACATCGTTCGTCTTCCTCAGTAAGAAAAGTTTGAGCAGGGATACTTTTGTCAGCCCAAAATTGCTGAAGTAACGAGTTTGTTTCTTCACATGTTACGCAGTTAAGAACCGAAGCGGATTCCGTATCTGAGCTAGCGTTTCCGGTAGGGCCTGAGACGATCCAGCCCAAGACTGTGAGCTGAGCCGTGGGAGTGCCGAAAGGCCCTTGACGAACGTCATTCAACAATAACGAACCGTATAAGTCCGCGCCGATGAGCACATGAATCGGGTGACGGCTAGACGGCTCAGGATCCGCTAATTTCAGATCATGCAAATGTGGCCACAATTCGGTAGGTCTGGTTTGAGAGGCTGAATATGACGTTATTTTCTGATAGACATAACCCGTAAAAGGAAACGTCGGACCTTGTCCCGAACAGGGCGCGAGAGTGAGATGCACGCGAGATTTAGCCATGCCGCTAAATTTCTCGCCGAAGCAATGTATTTTCAAACCAGCACAATAACGCCTGGTACGCATTATTTGGCAAAGCGACTCCGAAATAAAGCTGTACGTAGAGCCTTGATCCAATAACGCGCGCAACTTAAAGGCACGACCCTCCGGAGTAGTCAGTTTAATCCATGCGGTCGCGAGCAGTACTCGTGGCGGCGGTTTTGTAAGTTCTCGGGAGGAGTGAACTGTTTGAACAGACGCCGATGCAACCGTGCTCGGCGTAGATGGAACGGGTAACGCGACAGGGTTTGACGGCTCTGTAATCGACGCGATGGCAGAGGGATTCTGTTTCTTTGAACCTTCGTCGAATTCGATATGTAAGAGTGTATGATGATTTCGACGGCAACGGTTGCATCGACCTTTGCTCGGGCAATTTTTTAAGAAATGACCGATTCGTAAACAATTGAGACAACATTTGTACTGACGAGCAAGTTGTATTCGTTGTTCTACCGATTGACCTTTAAAGTCGTCGCATTTGGCCAAATAATGATTGCCGGAGCAACCGACGCATTTTTCGGCGGACACGTTATTGACTGACGAACGGCCCTTGTTAGCGCGCGGGTTATTCGCCGCAAGATCGGACTACGCGGGGTAATCCGCTAGACCGCGAATTCGCAGAGTCATAAAATCGTGGATTTCCTTGTATGTCGGGTACGCGTCGGAATTGCCTCGTATCAAATTCCACTCATTACGTGTTTTCGAACTAAATTTCTGCGCTATTAAGTACACAAGCAAATCGCCCCAATAAATAACCGGACGATCTAAGTTCGTTAAAGCAGCTAGAGAAGTTGATACGTTGTCGCGAAGTCGTTTCAACTCGATAACGTTTTCCGTCTTCATTTTAGGCAGATCGGCGAAAGCATGGATATGCGAATAAATAATCGCGTTTTGGTTATTGTATTCGTCCGCGAGGAGTTGCCATGCGGCTTGGTAATTTGCATCGGAAACTTTAATACTGTTAATTAGCAATGCGGCGTCACCCGTAACGCTCGCCTTCAAATAATGAAGTTTTTGAGTATTCGATAATGACTCATTTACCGCAACGAGCGACTCGAAAATACCGCGGAAATTTTCCCATTTAGCAAAATTTCCTGAAAATTTGCGAAGCGTGATACGAGGCAATTGTAATGATGCTCCGACGAATGCATCGCGAAAAGAATGGTCGCTACCTTTTTCGGCGGTGGACGGCTCGCTCTTGGAGAGTTTACTGACGGTGTCGTTGAGGTAATCTGATGCTTCCAGATAAGCGTCCTCGGCTGCGTAAAACTGCTCCTCAAGGAAGTACGGGGCCGTCTTCCTTTCCTCGGCGGTCGCCGTCTGGTGAATGCTGACGTTGATGGCGTGGCATTTTTCCCATAGCGTTTCCAACGCCTGTAATTGACTTTTTGTTTTGGAAAGAGTGATTTGACTCTTTGACAACTTCTTGAAGTTTATCAATACTCTCCTTATCGACGTGATAACACAATTTTGCTCGATAAGGAGTCCTTGGAGATCCTCCGACATGACTACCTCGGGTCCAGTAATCACGGTCGGTAAAGAATGTCTCGTAGTGAATCCGCGGCGAGCAGACAGCTCAGGTGCGCGCGGGATTACTCCGATTAGCGATTATCTCAGTGCACTCGTGAATTCCGTTCAGGAAGATTGCAGGCACGGGCTTCACCGGACTTCTGCGAATCTCGAGGAACACTCGTGACGAGAGCACTGGTTTCAGTTCAAACGGGACACTAATATTTATAGAGCGAGTGTAGAGCGCTCCGATTTTTGAGTGAGCCAATTGTCAGTGATGCCGCACTCGTAATGCAATTCTCACTGCACTGTTTCGTGAGACCGCCGTTGAACCGGGAATTAACGATTCGATCACGATTTTCTCGTGCGACGGTTCTATCGGCGAATGTCTGCGCGTATCCGTGCTGGCACGTCGGGCTGACGAGGACAATCACTTGTGCTGCGCAGCGAGCGAGAAGCAAGGAGTACGTATGAGCGATGGGCGACACGGTCGCGAACTTTGTTTCACGCGCTTGCGAATCCGGCTCGAAGGACCATTAACTGTTTGTATCGAATCGAATTTGCCGGTCCGCACCTTACGCGTCAGAACGCTATCTCCCGATTGGGTAGTCACTCCGCGAACGAGGAGAGGAAGTTCAAAAATTAACTGAGGCATCGTTTTGTAGACTCTCACTTTATTTTACAATAAGCTTGCGCTCGACGTGTCGCTCTCGATAGTTTCTCAAGGCTCACTGAGCTCCCGAC